AGAGCGTCTTAGAAAAGCCATTTTCATTTCAATATGTAATATTTCAGTCACATGTTATTTACTTACCATTTGTAAGAGTTGATGAAGTAATAGCTGGCAAAGGTTAGACACTGAGAAAAAACAGAAAGTGTGGAAATGCAGTAAGGGATAAATTACTGGTTTGTCTATTCAGTAGAAATTGCAGTTCCTCAAATGTTCTGCTGAAGCTGCGTCCAAAAGTGAGTAAATAGTGAAATGTAAAGTCTTCCACTTCAGAGAAGAAAAGATTGTTTGTCTCGTAATTCTCCCTTCATACAACCCGAACAAGAGCCGAATTGTAACTGTAACTCACCACAATTGGCTTTGTTGATACTTAAAGTTGCGGTGTGGCTGTGTTGATTGAAACACAGGGGAAAACTATCCTTAAAGAATAAAACACTTTTTATTTCTTTTGTTTGTGCCAGGCTTTAAAGATGCTTTTTAATGCTGTGAAGCTGAGTATTTTTACATTGTAGTCTGTGGGTAGTTTAAGTTGGCATCAAATGATTAATCCAGGAACTGCTACTTAATTAAAACAGTACGTGGGGGATATTATATCAGCATTTGGTGTTGAGTTTCTGCTGTTTATCTCTCTTATCCAGTCTGGAGACACACAACTATTACTCCCCCCATGAAACACAGTTATTTAGAGAGCTGTGGATCACAGGGGTCAGAAGTTAGAGCTGATACCCACATTTGTGCTCCATGTCTTTGTGTGAATGCAAACATGTTTGAGAGAAACGTTTGTTTCCCAGAGGACACTGATCATTATGCTTGTGATGTGAGTGAGATGGCCCATAACCTCAAATTAAGTCTAAACATAGTAGTTTAACTTTAATACTGTCAAATCAGACAGTTTTGATTAGTTTTTTTTCATTCTTTAAGTTTTCGCTCTCTCTGATAGGCTTTCTTTAGTATTTAACCTCTCAAATTACATTTAGTAGTTCATCAGTAATGAAATACTTGGTAGTAGGGCTGTCATGTTATGATATGGTTATGACAGCCTATATATCTTATTAAGAATATCAAATCATCTGTCAGTTATTTTGGATAAATATGTTATGAACATGTGGCAGTAATACAGGTCCATGACAACACACAAAGTGACTGCCTTTACAAAACTAAACAAGTCAGTTTGTTTGGTTTATTTTTCACTCCTTTCTTCCAGTTCAGGCTGGGCTACGTTCTGCTGAATGCCGTCCCAGATCCAGCAGAGGCAGTGAGAAGTTTACTGATTTACAGTCTGCAGAGGGGAAATAACCTGCAGCACCACAACCAGAGACTACAGGAGGAGAACGAGAGACTTCGAGGAGAACAGCAACACATCACTGCAGAGTAAGTACATGCACGGATGAACACACATGCATACAAAATCACAGTAAAGTCAACTTTACACCCAAACCACACAAACTGTGGAAGGTGTGAGTATGTAATCTTGTGCTAGCACATAGTGCACAGAAAATACAGGAATATTTTCTGTGCACAGAAAACTGTTGCTTTGTCTTCCTGTCACTGCACACTCTGTTTCAGATGTTTTTTTTTCTATCCTTGGCTCTATATAATGTCATAAAGTGTGAGCATTTTTAATATGATCATCTAGTTTAGTCCATGTTAAATGTTTTGTTTTGTTTTTTACTCT